GTGCACAGAGGCCCTACTACGTGCTTCTGTGCTTCATGAGATCCTCACGGGGTCCAGAGCGTGGGTGTGACATCAGCCCACAGTTCAGAGAGAAAATGGACGGTTAGGTTAGGGGAGTCAATAGCTTGTCCGCCCAGGGCTGGAACTGACTCTCCAGTGACCTGCCTCACACTGAAGCTCCTTGCAGACAGAGGCACTGAAGAGAAGCACGGAGCCTCGTGTCAGGAAGCTGCCGGTCTAGAAAAGGACACGGGTGTGTCGAGGAACCTTGGGCTAAGGCAGGCGAGGTCGCCCAGGGAGGTGCAAGCAGCAAATCAAATGCATAGGTGCAGAGGCTCCGGGAAGGCAGTGGGGATGGTGAATGGAGATGAACCCAAGGTGACCTGGAGTCACAGCCTGTGGAGGGGGCCAGTTCAACCCATGTGGAGAGGAGGGACAGTGCAGGAGTGTGGGCATGACAGGGACAGCAATGATGAGCACATGGACTCCTCAGGTCCTCTGGATACCCCAAGGGGCCAGCCCTGCTGAAAGGAGGAACAGTGAGGCTCAGAGAAGGCTGGGAGCTCCTCAGAGGTCAGCAGTGGCTGGCCCAGGATCTGAGCTCCTGCAGTCCGCCTGTCACACCGTGGGCTGCTGAGAAAGCCATTTCTGTGTGTGACGCCGTGTGCACATGCTATAGAGGCTCACTGCCACAGGGCACCATCACTCCTGGCTTCTCTCTATTTTTGTATTTAGTAAGAATTCAGTAAGACCTATTTCTATTTCCAGAAGCCAAGCATGCTTGCTATAAATAATACCATCAACAGAAAGCATGTTATACAGAGTAAAACGCCAAGTCCTCTTTGCCCACAAAACCTGATTTCTTGCTTTTATCATTGGATTATATCCTGGCACTCTTCTTTACCGGCACGTAGTGACTGTACATTTTATGAGGTACCGTGCAACATTTTGATATGTTGGAACACCGTGTATTGATCCGCTCAGAACACATAGGTTGTCCATGGTCTCAAACCCTTCTTGTTTGTCGTGACAGCATTCTGAATCGGTGCTTATGGCTATCTGGGGGTGTTCAGTGCAGTGTTGTGAGCGACAGCGACAGTCACCCTCTGCACAACAGAATAGCAGTCTGGCTGTGGCCATGTTCCCATCTCCTCAGTCGCTCCCTCTCTTCCCCATCCCTAGCCTCTGCTAACTACTGTTCTGCTCTCTAGCTCTGTGAGCTGCACACATGAATGAGCTCCTTCCCTGTCTGGCTTATTCACTTAACGCATTCATGATGCCACAAATGACAGACTCTGTTCTTTTCCTGGCTGAGTAGTATTCCGATGCATGCATGCATGTGGCACGTGTGCCACCTGTTCTTTATCTACTCACTCACCAGTGGCCACCGTGGACAATTCCATATCCTGGCTATTGGGAGAGATGCTGCAGTCAACATGGGAGTGCTTGTGTCTCTTCGACAAAACGTTTTCAACGGCTTCAAGTTGACCCAGGAGTAACATTTGCTAGATCATGACAGTTCTACTTTTTAAAGGAACATTAATACCACTTTCCACAATGGCTGTCCTAAGTTACATCGCACCAACAGTGTATAAGAGCTTCCCTTTCTCCACACCCTTGTCAGCATTTGTTATTTTTTTGTCTTTTGGAGCAGTCATTCTAACTGGGGGAAGGTGTCATCTCACTGCGATTTTGATTTGCCTTTTGCTGATAATAATCAATAGTGGGTACTTGATTATATACTTGTCGGTCATTTGGATGTTGTCTTTTGAGAAATGTCTATTCAGATCATTTGCCCATTTCCATTTGGATTATTTGTGATTTTGTTACTGTTGAGTTTTTGAGTTCCTTATTTATTCTAGACATTAATCCTTTGTTGGATAAAGAGTTGGCAAAATTTTTCTCCTATTCTGTAAGCTGTCTTTCCACTTTGCTGAAGATTCCTTTGCTTGCAGAAGCTTTTTAGTTTGGTGCAATCACATTTTTCCTTTTGTTGCCTGCATTTTTACATTCTTTTCTCCTGGAACTGGGGTTTGAATTCAGGACTTCACACTTGCTAAGCTGGTGCTCTACTGCTTGAGCCATATCCCCAGCCCCTTTTCTCAGGTTATTTTTAGAATAGGATCTTACTTTATCCCAGCTATTTGGCTGAAATGTGGTCTCTCAATCTTTTTGTCCAGGATTGACCTCAAACTGTGATCCTGTTGATTTCAGCCTCCCAAGTCCACTTTTACATTCTTGTCCCTCCAAAAAAAAAAAAAAAAACACTTGCCCAAACCAGAATCCTAGTGCTTCTTCCATGTTTTCTTCTAGTAGCTTTAGAGCTTGGAGTTTTATGTGTAGTCATTGAATCCATTTTGAGTGGCTTTTGGTACATGCTGAGAGACAGGCCTACTCCCATTCTTCTACATGTTGGTAACCATTTTCCAGCACCCTTTTTGAAGACAGTGTCTTTTTTTTTAATTGTTTTATTATTCATATGTGCATACAAGGCTTGGATCATTTCTCCCCCCTGCCCCCACCCCCTCCCTTACTACCCACTCCTCTCCCCCCCACCCCCTTGATACCCGGCAGAAACTATTTTGCCCTTATCTCTAATTTTGTTGAAGAGAGAGTATAAGCAATAATAGGAAGGAACAAGGGTTTTTGCTGGTTGAGATAAGAATAGCTATACAGGGAGTTGACTCACATTAATTTCCTGTGCGTGGGTGTTACCTTCTAGGTTAATTCTTTTTGATCTAACCTTTTCTCTAGTTCCTGGTCCCCTTCTCCTATTGGCCTCAGTTGCTTTAAGGTATCTGCTTTAGTTTCTCTGCGTTAAGGGCAACAAATGCTAGCTAGTTTTTTAGGTGTCTTACCTATCCTCACCCCTCCCTTGTGTGCTAAAGCTTTTATCATGTGCTCAAAGTCCAATCCCATTGTTGTGTTTGCCCTTGATCTAATGTCCACATATGAGGGAGAACATACGATTTTTGGTCTTTTGGACCAGGCTAACCTCACTCAGAATGATGTTCTCCAATTCCATCCATGTACCAGCGAATGATAACATTTCGTTCTTCTTCATGGCTGCATAAAATTCCATTGTGTATAGATACCACATTTTCTTAATCCATTCGTCAGTGATGGGGCATCTTGGCTGTTTCCATAACTTGGCTATAGTGAATAGTGCCGCAATAAACATGGGTGTGCAGGTGCCTCTGGAGTAAGCTGTGTCACATTTTTTGGGTATATCCCCAAGAGTGGTATTGCTGGATCAAATGGTAGATCAATGTTTAGATTTTTAAGTAGCCTCCAAATTTTTTTCCAGAGTGGTTGTACTAGTCTACATTCCCACCAACAGTGTAAGAGGGTTCCTTTTTCCCCCGCATCCTCGCCAACACCTGTTGTTGGTGGTGTTGCTAATGATGGCTAGTGATTTTCCAGCACCCTTTTTGAAGACAGTGTCTTTGCCCGAGTGTGTGTTCTGGGTGCCTCTGGCGGTCTCTGGATTCTTTACTAACAAACTGTTCTGCTAGGACCTTGGTTTGGAGGTCTTGTTGCTTTTCTGAAATGGTGCACTCAGTTTATCGGTGGGCATTGACATCAGAGACTCTGAGAAGATGGAAACATTTGTGCTTGGCTGTCCATTCTACCATCTATAAGCTGTGACCCCAGAGTGCTTAGCTTCTCTGAGCCTCAGCCTCCCCATCTCTCGAATGGGCATGCTGATGGACCCCACCCTACAGAGTATAAGAGGAGGGGGTGAAACACATAGCAAGCGCATGTGGTGAAAGTGGTGGGGATAAGAGTGATGACACAGCTTGTGATTCCCTTGACTCAGTTTCCCACCTGGCAGATTACAGGTGGCATGGTGTTCAGCAAGCATAGTAAGGACTGTCGCATCAGGTTCACAGGTGATGCTGAAGCCTTTTGATCAGGGGCCATGTGCAGAGACGTTCCTGCTGGCCTCTGCTCACAGCTTCCCTCCTTGCAGGCATTCTGCAGTAGTCCAGGCCAGGTGGTGTGGATTTGCAAAGCTCCTAGAATTTGTTCTGGGGTGAGGCCATGGTGTGGGGGGACCCAGGAACGGCAGCTGGACTGCACCCCTCCCTCCCCAACTCCCAGCATTGCTCCATAAGGGGCTCTTCCACCTTCACCCCTGCCTTTTCCCACCCACCTGCTGAGCCCGGTGTAGTTGACATCATGGCGTCTGGCCACTGGCAGGTCTTCTCGGTCATTTGGTGACTAACTGAATGAATGGCTTTGGGGTGCTTTGGCCAGGTTCTGGGGAGCAGCATTCAGGCAGGGAGGTCCTGACCACGGGGTTCCAGCTAGGAGTTGCCAAGGAGCAGGTCAAGTCTCAAGCAATGTGAAGGCAAGAGGTGGAAGCCCCCACCCACACAGCTGGAGGACAGAGCAGCAAACCATGCCCGAGTGCCAGCCTGGAGGGAGGGGCAGAGTCACACAGAGCCCTAGGCTTTGTGCGGAATCCTGGACAAGGGCTCAGGAGGCAATATTCTCACTGGGGCAAAGCGGCACAGCCCCAGATTTGGGGTGTTCAAATACAGCCCTGTCTGCTGCCCACGGTGGCTGAAGGGTCCGGAAGGGGGAAGGTTTCTGGCTCTGACCCGAGGACAGCATCGCTTCAGTTACAAAAATAATTGGAGCTTGGTGTTAATTTTGTGTAATTACGCTTCTTTCTCTTGACAAGCCCTTTGTTTATGTTTTGTGGGCTTGGTGGGGTTTTTGTTTCCTGTTTCTTCGGTTGCACCCTCCAGCCCCGCCAGTGAAAAACCACTTGAAGAATAGTCATTTGTCTTCCCATGGCTCAGTCTGGGCTGGTGGCGGGAGGGGAGCCAGCGTGCGGAGGCGGCTGCACTCCCGCAGCCGCACAGGGCTGGGAGATCCCAGCTCTTGCTCAGAGCTGGCGTCACCACGTGCTCTCTGACTGAGGCTGAGGCGGAGGCCCCTCCTGCCCTTGGACAAGACACTCCCCAGGCCGGGCGGGAAGCAGAGCCTGCTGGGCTGCAGGGCTGGTCCCCTGCCTGAGGATGCTGCATGGACCTCCCAGAGCCTCTGCAAGCAGAAGCCTGAAGCCAGGCAGCGCTGCCTGCCCCTCCCTAAGGCAGCGGGCAGGAAGAATTCCCTGAAGGGACCTCTGAGCGGCTTAAACACCCCGCTGGGTGGACAGTGCAGACCAGGCCAGGTTCTCAGGGGACGGCTGGAAAATGAAGACCTGCACACAGGCAGCCAGGGCCAGGACTCCTGGAGTACGCGCTCCTCCGGGCAGCTTTCCGTCCTCTGTGGGAGTCTGACTTGACTGTGCCAGCCAGAGGCGCCAGAGCTTCACTTTCTCTCCTGTCGCCTTTGGGGAGGTGATCTCTGAGGGGTGTGCGCCCACCGCTCACCTTCACAGACCCTGCTGGGATTTGCAAGCATCCACGCCATGGTGCAAAATGTAATTTTAGTGTTTTTCCGCAGACGGCTGAGCCAAAGGCCCGCTGTGGAGGAGCTGGAGAGAAGAAATATCCTAAAACGTGAGTAGCCGGCAGGTCCTCTCGAGGACCCTCAGTGTCCCTGTCCTGAGGCTGCTGCAGGAGCTCGCTCCCAGCCCAGCCCGGCTCTGCGGGCTCGGCACTCTGGGTTTCCTTAACTCTGAGCACCAGGGAGTCTGACAAGCCCTTCAGTGAAAGTCCACGCATCCAGAACCACTCCCTTCTCAATAAATTAAATGGAAAACGACTCTGTTCCTAGCATGATTAAAGAAAGATCTTAATTTCAAGATTAATTAGCCAGTCCTGTGGCCCTAGGGAAGCGAGCCAATACTCCATTGCATGCCATGGGACCAGCCTGGTTTCTTGGCAGTTTGGGATGTGTGTCCTAAGGGAAGCAGAACCACAGACAGGTCAGAAATGTTGCCAGGGAAGGACATGCCCCTTGGTTGTTACCCCTTAGGAGGAATAAAGCATCTAGATAAAGGAGCTGGGAAATCAGGATTTGGGATTCCAGGACCCTCGGCTCCTCCAGCCTTGTGTTTCCCCAGTTAGGTACATAATGATGGTGTGTGCTGAGCACACGTATAATCTCCACTACACGGGGTTCTATTTCATTAAAGTCGCTGAAGACTGGGGAGCGGTAAAACCTCTTCAAAAGTGTTCTTCAGGTAGTTCTTTACCTGGTCAACAGACTTCAGCTTTTAAAACACTTTCCACAAAAGAGGTTTCTAAGAGCCAATCAGGCAGCAAGATCTTTCAAGTTGTTTTTTTCTCTTTATGTGATGAACACTGAGGAGAGTCTGTGGGTTTAGTGTTTTGTTTGTAAGCATCTTTTTTTTTTTTTTTCTTTACAAAGCAGTAACAGTACCAAGGCATACAAGGCTTTTGTGGTACTGTCAGAAAACAGACCAGAGGCCTTTTGCACTGAACTCTAACCACTTCCTTCTTGTCTTTGCCTCAGAACCTTCATTAGCTCTAAAACAATCCCTTCACTTGTAGACTTTTGAACGTATTTAACTCAGATGAAGAATTCTTCCTGTTACTTTTTAAACTGAAGATATGGTGACTCTTCTATTATGTGAGCTAGGCTATGTGTGAGGGTTTAAAGAAAACTGCACATTGGTAATACACTCAGCCACACAGAGAAGTCAAGCTATCTGTGACCAAATGTTTGAATTTTTAAAAAATTAAGCCACTTATTTAAAATTAGATCTCCTAAGTCACCAATGTCATTAAAAGTAGTGGTCTAGACTTGAACAAGCCAGGTTCCAGTCTTAGGACATGCCAGGCTCCAACAGTCTGCTGCCCACACAGGAAGTCAGCACTACAGCCCGAAACTATTTCTCCTTTCAGTGGTTACCTCGTCCCATCTATGGTGGGCAGTCAGGTCCTCCCCCCGGCAAGGACTTCTAATTGTGTTCCTCTTTGCAAATAAATATCAAAGCCTTCAAAATAGATCTGTTTGGTGGATAGAGTACTAGGAAGGAGAGAGCTGGAACTGACCACACTCAGCGCCAGGGTATGGACTTTCTCCTGGTAACCATGGCAACCTGCCATAAACATTGTGCCTTCCCCAGTGATCCAGATTTGTCCTTAGCCTAGAAGCCTTCTCAAGTGTCGTGAGTGGGAGGACCTGAGAATTTAGCTACTAGGTTTGTGGTGGGTATTTGCTTTGTTTTGTTCTGTGGAGATGAGAATAGGTTAGCCATATATGGCTTGGTATAGAATATCACACTCACAGTCCCCTCACACATGGGCCATCAGACATTCATGCTACAGTGCAGCTTTGCTTGCAATGGAATCAGAAACCATCACTTTGCATTTGCAGCCCCATCTGAGGAGCACGCAGAATGCTGCCTTGTGTACTCCTGGCTCTAACAGCCTAAGACATGGTGGCCCCTTTTTGTGGTTCTAATAGTGACTCCTTATTAGGCCCAATCTGTGCCAGGCATTTTAATCCGGGCTCCATGTATGTTTTCTCATTCAGTCCTTTCCACGAATTTGGCAGGTTTGTACGGTGTTCCCATTTTACTAGTGAAGCAGGTTAGATGACATTTTGACAAGCGAATGTTGGCAAGAGGACAGAGTGACTCAAGCCCAGCTCTGCCTCACTCCATTGCCCCCTGCTTAGAAGCAGACCCAGTTCTGAATGTCTGCAGAAGGCTCATGAGTAACTGCCCAAGGCTCTGGAACAACTTCCAGAAACTATGCGTCTAGAGGTCCTGACCACCGGCCCTTGTTGTGTATAAGGCACATTATTTTCTGGGTCTGGGAGTAAGATCGCTAAGGGTAGCTCAGAGAGAAGTTTGGGCTGTCAGGAAAGGAGGTGTCTAACAAAGCACCTCAAAAAGAGAGACTCTGTGACAGGCACTTCCAAAGACTGCTGTGCTCACAGACTAGATGATGATAGTTTCACAAATGAGAAAAAAAATCTGTTTGCCTCAATTTTTTTCACATGGAGGCTTCACTTGGAGTTTGTTCATGGCCTATTTTTAAGAAACCTGGAGAATTACTTACATATTCCTCACTGCTGACTTTACGACATTTTCACAATTGTTTTCCAATTTTACCAGTTTCTGATTAGCACTTACAATATGCTTTGTTCTGGTTTATCACTTGGCTAAAGAACCAAGCACATGGCACTGTTTTGTTTCCTTTTCTACAATACTTTAACCCAAGATGACTTTAAAAGAATACTGAAAAGTGTAACCACTGACATATTATACCCAATCAATCCCCCAGTACGTGCATATTTTAAGTGAATCATTTAAATAGATAATGTGAAATTATGTTAACTGCAAGTAGCAGGATTTCCCTTTCCAGATCCTGGCGGTGTTTCTGGGAGGACTGTTTGGTTGAGATCTCTTTCCTAGGAAGGGAGCTCTGTTCAGGCCGGGGACTTGAGGCTTTATTTAGCAACAGAGAATGCTAGAAATAGGACAGCCATTATCTTTGTGTCACAGGGTAAGGCATACATTGTATACTGTAACTCAGCACTCTAGCCTATATATAGCTTCAGTGTTAATAGTCACAACTCACCAAGCAAAGCCAATTTTGGTGATGGACTTGGGCTCCCTTAAAAGGCACTGTCATAGAAAAGTGTTCATGCTTCAGCACTGGAGAGTCAGCTGCTTTTTGTATAAGTTAAGGCTTGAAATATACCTTGAAAATATAAATTACAGGCAGGCATATGTTGCCCAGAGTCTGGAAGAAGGTATTCATTCCATGCCTTTTGTTAGTTGGCTAAAAGTTATGTATCCCTATGGAATGGAAAAAACAGCAAAGTGGTGACAGTGTGACTGGTATTCAAATGTGTATGTTTGTTCGCTTACTAATTCTACTATAGGTATTTTGTATGCAATCCGGGCTCCCAGATATAAATATACAGATAAAGATAGTTAGGTAGAATGGAGAGAGACCAACAGACACACAGAATAACTGCTTCCCAGAAGTAAACAGCAGCAATATGTGTGGCAGCTTCTAATGTGGGCAAGAGCAGAGGAGAACTGGGCTGGGTTGATTCTGTGTTAACAATCACACTGTGATCTCCTGAGCAGAGACTGGCAAAGTGGAAAAACAAAACATACTGTGATAGGGAAGGTGCAATCTATGAGGTCCCTTAATCTCCTTCCTTCAGCTATATAGCTGTGGAGACCTTGAGTACACTGCTCTATTAAAGAGAAGGCTTAAATTGCTTTTTTCCTCACTCTTTCACAGAAAGGAATGATCAGACAGAGCAGGAAGAAAGAAGAGAAATCAAGCAAAGATTAACAAGAAAGGTATTTTGATTAAAGCATTTTTATTCACGAATAACAAGGTGGACTAGAGAAAAGCTGGTTCTGTAGCACTTGGGATGGGAATGCAAGCAGCTCCCCATAATTTTGGATGAGTTCCCAGACGGCATGGCATCCATTAAATCGGAGTATTTGCTCAGTGACAGTGAATTAACTCACCAAAAGGACTCCAAAAGCAGTGCCTTTGCCCCATGGCTGACCGTGCGGATGAGGGCCACACAGTAGTAGGTTGGAAAAGCATACAACAATGTCTAAGAAAACCACACCTGAATATCAGCTTTAGTTACCTTTTAGACTTATCTTTGGTCACCATCTAGAAGTTTCTTGATTGTAGAAAATACTATTAGTATTGAGAGGTTTTGTGTTTGACTCAAATAGTCGAAATTTATTATGCCCAAGGGAGGTAGTAACTCTGTAAACCTTGATCTCCTTTTAAAACCCTCCCCATTTCTGAATCGTGTCTCTCTCTCTCCACTGTGTTCCACAATAATGAATGTCTCTCCTGCTTGAAGTTAAAATTATTCTTCCTGGGGTTGGTGTATAAGTACTAGTCTTAGTTAACATAACTTTCTTAGTAATTTTTAAAACGCTTATTTAATGGTACTTAAAATGTATTGTTAATTCACCTTGACCCTGAGCTAACGCACTGGTTGTGGTGTGAATCCTTCTGATAAAATGTGTTAAAGGAAGAGGGTTAAGATTTAGGATGTTATCATTTAAAATCTGTTTGAACAACCAATGTACTGTTAAAAATGAAGGACAGGAATGTACAACAGGTCATGTTCAGGGAAGAGTACTAGTGGGAGAGGGAAGGGTGGACAGAGGGTGAAGTAGGGTGAATATTGTTGATGTGCTTTGTAAACCTATGTGAAAACAGAACAATGAAACCTGTTAAAATTGTTTTAAGGAGGGAGTGGGGGATGAGGAAGAATGGTAGAGGGGTGAATTTAACCAAGGTACATTATGAGCATACATGGAAATGTCAATGAAACCCTCTTTTATAAATGGTATATGCTAATAAAAGTGTGAAGAAAAGAATGTATCATTTATGCCTTGCACATGAGACATTGTTTACGTGCAGGTTGTTCAGAGTTTTTTGTTTATAGAAATACGCCTGTTATTCAGAGTACTTCAAGAAAACCAGCTTGATATGTGATGCCTAACTATAATGATTTTTTATTTTAGCTTAATCAGAGGCCCACTGTTGATGAATTAAGAGACAGAAAAATTCTGATACGGTTCAGTGATTATGTGGAAGTTGCAAAAGCACAGCTGTGGTTTCACAAAGATAAGCCAGGGCCAGAATTGAGCGATAGTTCTCAACTGAGGGACAAATTCTATCCTGAGGGATACTGGGCAATGCCTACAGACATTCTGGATTGTCACATCTGGGGGTGCTACTAGCATCTATGAAGCAGAGGCTAGAGGTGCCACAAACATCACACAATTCAACGGCCCAAGAAAGAATTATCTGATTACAAACATCAAGAATGTGTAAACTGGGAAAACATGGTCTGGAGGATGAAAGCAAAAGTAGGTAAAGCTGACATAAAAAGAATAACCAAATGACAGATTTAAACGAGTTACAGTGAGATCAAAGGAATAGAGTCCACCCGAGATATTCAGGACATGTATAGGAGGGTCAGGGTTCTGTCCTGGTTTGACCAGCTTGGGAACCTCTTTTAGCAATCTGAACTGAAAGGTCAGAGGCTAGAAGACAGCAAGGAGGCAGTGGGTCACAGAAGCTCCGAGATGAGGAAGGGAATGGACATTTACCAAGCAGAGAGGGTAAGTTCCCGTCCATGGGCGGATGCTAATTACCGGCAGGATTTAAGCTGAGGAGTGTCTGAGCTGATAGAGGCTTTCCATCATACCTTTTGCCTCTAACAATTTTCAGAATGCTTGAGGACTTTAGCAAAAGAAAAATAATACATTCAGCCAGTGAATTTGCTAGTTATTTTTATATGATATGAATGTGTATTTATAAGTGTTCATAGGTATTGCATAAGCTTGAAGAAATGCTGTTGTGTTCAAGCTGGACTTGGTTCAAGCTTGACAAGGGGAAAGGAAAGTATCTTTGGTAGCAAATGTGTTTGAATATGGGATAAATATACCCCCCAAATTCATAACTCAAAGGTTTGTCCCAGTGGCTATGTTTGATGATTCTTTCTCACCTGGCCCTGGAGGGTTTATAAGAGAGCCATCCATGATAAAAATGGGCCTAAGGAAGCCAGAGGTGGACCATATATGAAGCCCCAAATAGCACTGAAAATACCATGATACTTGCCCCCTCCATGCCATGACAACTAAAACATTATTCAAATGGCACAAAACCTAACTGTATACTGAAGTTAGAATGACTTCTAGAATGTCTGAAGAATTCCAAGTTCACTAAAAGCTGATCGTTACTCATTGCTTTGCTGTTCTTATTTCATTAGTGCCCTAAGCTCATGTTTGATTCATCCATTAGTGTGGTGAGGGGCTGTCTGCCTACTACAGCACAGCAAATTAACTCACTAAAGACTTCCATAACACTGGCTACATAAGGATTGTTAGCACTGTACAAAGGAGGAAGACAGTCTAAATACTGAATGAAAAACTGTTTCCTCTGTATATTACAAAATATCAAAGTCAGCAAGTACTAAGAATGGTTGTTAATCTACAAACGTGATAGCTAATTTCTTCTATTAACTTTTGAATGTCCTGTTTTTTAATTTCAGGCAGCAATTCGTAAAGAATTAAATGAATACAAAAGTAATGAAATGGAGGTACATGCATCAAGCAAGCATTTGACAAGGTGACATTTATTTGTATGAATTTTATACATATTATATTGTATGTAAAAAACACACAAAAGCCACAGATACTTTGTATCCACTTAAACAAATTCAACATTTCTGCAGAGAACTGTACTAAACAGAATATGCTTCAATTAAAAATGCTGTTCCCAAGTTTTTTAATGAGGATTGATAGTGAAAGGTGGTATGTAGAACAGTATTAAGTAGTTAATGTGTATTTAAGAAAATTGGTCTCACAGCAGTGCAAGTTATCTTTCTATATGTTTAATTCCCCTCCTCTAATATTCAGAATTTCTCCAATTTGTGGAATTCACTAGTTTTTACTTAAATTGTGAGCAATTACTCTCCAACTTCCCATTTGCTTTCTTGTACCTTAAATTTATATTCACATCTTTAACGCAGTTAATGCTCCACCAAAGCTAAAAGAACATCCATTGCCTCTGCAATATGAGTACCTACCATATGCAAGGCACCATTCTGGGTGTGAGGAATGTGACTGTCACTATGACAGTGTTAATGTAGTTTATCTCTATAGGGAATATACTGTCTGATTTCTCCACAATCAACATTTTTCCCATCAAGTAGATACATTCTCTGTTCATGATACTGCACAAAATGAATGATGCTGAGTCTCTTGGCAATGACAAATAGGAGAAATTTTACTTCTCTCTACCTAACACTGTGCTATACATGATTTATTTCCTCCTTTTCCATAACCATGACCAGTAGTGGTCACCCCTTTAATCTTGATGGACATGACTGTTATGGAATAAGCCTTAGGCTACAAGCAGGTGCTCTGTCCTCTCTTCCTTTGTCTAAAGATATTTAAACCCCAAATATGAGAAGAAAGGAAATCCTACATATAATACTTCCTTAACTTAACGGGTTCATTTTCTTTTTGTTACAAAATGGTCACTGCAGTTATTTAAAAGATTTGCTCTGTAAGCTCAAGTATGCTGGAATTCCATCTTACCCACTAAGATTAGGGTGAATATGTCAAGGGAGGAAGAAGAGATAGGAAGGACAACATAAAATAATGCAAACATATAGTTTGTTTTTAAGTCTGTTATGGGTTTCTCCTACGGTTAACATGCTTTGGGGAATGAATAACTCATTTTAGTTTTGATTATTCCTACTGGGTCTGTGAAATTTTAGGAGATAAAATTCTCCTATAAAACATACAATTATTTTAATGTTTATTCTGTTTTAAAGAAACAGGATGTATTACTACATAGTCTATATATGGTGATCTTGATTCATTACATTTTCCAATTATACATTAGAAGATATTTAAGTTCTTGACAGCTTTCTTAGATGACAAAATTTTAGAGTCCCAAACCTGAATCAGAAAAAAAAATCTAAGTTGTTTCATACCAAATTATACCACTTCATATCAATTTTAAAGAGAATATTTTTAGTCATGACTTTTCTTGAGTACATTAAACATTACTATGCACACATTACCAACTCGACAAAAGTATTCAAAGCACTGGCCTTTCTTTCAGACTAAGTTCTAGGTAGTCTTAACACTTCTGTGTCATGACACATTTAGAGTACAAGCAGGTCCTGAGAATCAGGAGCCCTCTGAGGCTAGTTTAACTGTAGCAGATCCATCCTTAGGTTTACGTATTAGACTCCTAAGCAGCTTTTAGTAGCAGTGAATGTATTTGTGGGAGGGTTTTGGCAATTCTAACTATTGAAAACTACATAAAATTTTTTGTCTTTTTCCTAATTTCTAGATTCCACAGGCCATAGAGATTTTCTTCTGAGAAGAATTTGTGTTTAATTTTTGATACCAACTTTGAACATTCATCAGGGAACTTTCCTGAAGTTTTCAGCTCAAGACTACCTGCTATGTTTGTGAGAAGAGCAGAATCACACACACAGGTGCAATCTTGGCCACACTTACCTACAAGAGGAGCAACCCAGAGGACACACTTCCTTCTTTGGTGTCTGAGGAGTGTGAACTGTTGGGGTCAGTTAAGGCCCATAGTAACTCTACCAGAAGAAAACTGCTGTTTGCCTTTCAACCTTGTTTTTCAGTTCTGCAGTGCAGTGGACAGGAGACATGCATGTGCCAGCTCACCACTCCCAGGCCTCTGACATGAGGGACATGTGATGCAGTGTCATTCAGTATTTTGTTGAAAAGACACTTTTATTCTGATCATGATTAATTTGAAAAACTCTTTAAGTTCATGTTATATAAAATGATTTACTGTATTATACTTTCTCTTTTTTTATATGTCTAACAAAAAATACAGCTCCAACATTTTGAGTCCTGTTAATTTTGTTCTTTAATTAAATGACTACTTATTTCAGGAAATTAACCCAGGCTTTATATTTTCTTGGGATTGGGAAGAATGACATCTTAGAACAGGACTCAGTGAAAGAGTCAACTTTTAGTACTTTTGAACCATCTAAAAACCAAACACATGAAAGAGAATGCCAACTTCTTTTTATGTGCTTTGTAAATTCTGTCAGTATATGTGGTTTGTGTCTCAGAAAATCAAATCACCCCTTTCAAATTAATTTAAATTTATGTACTAATAAGTGTTGAAGAGTGCATTTAATCTAGAAATAAGAAATAACTTGTTGGAAGGTATGCCTTCTTTCAGAGTATTTTTCAGTTCAAATTTGCAAATGTTATTAAAAGCCCAATTCTATCTATCTAAAAGCAGCAGCTCAGATGGAGTGGAAATCTACCCCAGCGCAAAGGTGAAAATTAATCTTGGCATAAAATTTAGCTTGGAAACAAGCTAAATAACAATAAACATTCCTTTGAGTAAGTGTCCTTACAGAGGACTCTTCCTTCCTTTTCCTCCAGCACTTGGTCATGTAGGAAGAAGTGATTTCAGGAGCTCACAGAACCTATACTTGCACCCAAGCTCTATGCTAGTCAGCAAATTACTTATTTTCTCTACAGGGTGATCATTATCTCATACAACAATGCTGTGATTTCCAAGTGAGATGAAGTAGCCTAAAGTGCTGGCAAAGCCCTTAAGCACATTTCTCAGCATTCAGCCACTGGCTCAGTTCCCTGGAAGCACTACCTCGCTGCTTGCCCAGATCTTTCCTTTCCAATTCTTTAAAACTACTTACTTGTGAATCAGGTGCCCATGGAAACTGCTCAACACTGTGGTAACACTTTGAAGAAACATGTGATCAGTCCTTGATACTGGCAAACATACTATTAGTTGAATTGTAGCTTTTTTATAAGAAATTATTATGGTAGAAAAAGTTAAGCTCTACCTCTTGCTGTGTAACATTTTGTTAATAACTTGACTTTTCTGGGCCTCAGTTTCTTTGTGAAATGAAACATCTAAATCCTTTCTAACTAGAAGTTACTTACTTTATTTGCATTTAACATGTATGTATACACTATGTATTCTATTTTATTCAAAACCCAGCCAACCACCCAAACACTATTTTCTAAGCTACACATTAGCAACTTCTCTTTTATATTGTATTCAATTAAAAATATTAATTGGGGCCTAAGTTATATAAAACTAAACTTTCAACTTTCCTCCCTTAGAAATATCCATATACCTACTATGAAACAAATAAAGGAAGATGCTATCATTCTAGAAACCACTTTGACCCTCAAAG